AGGTGGGGTACTGGTATGGGCTGGTATTATTAAAGATGAGCTAGTTGGACCTTTTCGGGTTGAAAATGGACTCAAAATCAACTCTCAGACCTACTGCCAATTTTTAGAAGACACTTTCTTCAAGCAGTGGTACAGGAAAAAGTCTGCATCTTTCAAGAAGACTTTGATTTTTATGCAAGACAACGCTCCATCACATGCATCAAAGTACTCCACTGCGTGGCTGGCCAGTAAAGGCCTTAAAGATGAAAAACTAATGGCATGGCGCCCTTCTTCACCTGACTTAAACCCTATTGAGAACCTTTGGGCTCTTCTTAAGCAGGAAATTTACAGTGAAGGTAAACGGTACACTTCTCTGAACAGTCTCTGGGAGGCTGTGGTTGCGGCTGCACAAAAAGTTGATTCTGACCAGATCAAAAAACTGACGGCTTGTGACTGTTATCGAAAAGAAGGGTGGCTATATTGGTCACTGAGATTTTCTGTTTGGAATTTCAGAACTGTTTATTTGTAAATTATGAGTTTGTTTATTATTCTCACTTTAACAGGTGAAAATAAATAAGTGAGATGGGAAAATCTTTCGTTTTTTATTTAGTTGCATGATAATTCTGCACACTAATAGTTGCCTAATAATGGTGTACATGTAGATATTCTTTTAAGAAAGCCAAAACTTCACTTTTACTACTTAAATGTTCAGGTTTGAGGGTTTGTTAACACTTTGGATTGACCAAGAGCACTGTAGTTGTGCAATAACAAAATTAATCCTCAAAAATACAACTTGCCTAATAATTGTGCACACAGTGTATTTAAAAACCCCTCATGTAGCGATTGTACACACCAACACATCGGGACAACCTTGACAACATCAGATGGTAGTAGAGACAAGGAGGCTCAAAATTAAACAGAGGGGTCGGGAATACACGTGCACAAAGCACACATGCACACTCACCCACCTTATGAGGGTGCTCAAAAGAGACGTGGAAGTTGAGCTGTCGGAGGATGAGGAGCTCACACTGCACCACACTGTCCCTCAGGTCCCAGAAGTCCTTGTCACATTCTAGAGGAGCGCTGCCGCTGTTGAAATACCTGCGAGGGACGAACGGAAGGTGAGAGCGAGGTGGAGGTGCAAAGCATTCAAGGTGACCACATGGAGAAAGATGTGGCACACCAAAAGTTTTTCTCTTTTCAAAATGTCCTGCACTAAAACACTATGAATAATTCTGAGCCACTCACTGGCCAATTTGCCTTATTGCTAACAAAATGAAACTATCGCATTTGATGGCAGACATTCACGACTTATGTCATATGTTAAGTACAATAAATATGCTAATTGACTTTTCATTTTTCAGACCAAACGATGATTAATCAGAAAATAATCTTATTGAATCGTGAAAGTACATAGTCCTGTTTGTCTAAGCTGAAAACCTTTTGGTTTTAAGCACCATTCAACATCGAAACACCAACTAAGTGTTTCAACTCAAGAGACCCGTATCTGCCATTTTTCTTTTTATATTGCAGGTAGAAGCCACTCTTGACCAAGCAAATTACCTGTGGCTGACGTTGATGATGTCACGAGTCCTGATGTGCTGCTCCTCCACTTTGCCAGCCAGGTACATGCAGCTCATGGCCACCAGGTAGGGCTCGTAGGCACACAAGCTGGCACGTTCAAAGAAACGGTGGTACAACACACATGCTGTGACCACGGGTACGGAGCGCATAGCCAACTTCACTCCTGAGCATGGAAGGAAGGAGCAGTAGCTAATGTTTTAATAAGGGTTCACTCAAACTCCAATGTGGGTTTAATCATCTTTGACAAATTCATTCACACATATTTTCATCTATAATCATATATTGCAAATCTGTTTATTTAGTATGTTTGCATATGGCCTATTAATCACATTGAATCACTTTTGACCTACTATGTTAAAACTAACAACTCAAAATATAAACTTGGAAAATGAAGATTATGTGATAGCAAATCATAATTTTATAATATGTCAAAATAAAAAAAACTGTCTTGATAACTATATGGAATGGTACAATTATTTATTAGTTGTTGTTTTTTTTAACCATGTATAACTTTTCACCTGCTTTCTTTTGCTGACAGAAATGGGCACAGAGAGAGAGAGAGAGAGAGAGAGAGAGAGAATTATGCGGGTTACCTGACTCCATAATGAAGCGACAGACCCGAAAGTGTGTTTTCATGTCCCGAGCAGGGTCAGACTCTGCATCCCCGCTGGAGTCTCTCCTGTCCGCCAGCGACTGAAGTCCAGCTTGTGAGGCACATAAACGAGTGGACGGACCCTCCATAGCTCCTGGGCTATCAGTAGGACAATCAAATGTCTTCTAGCGCAGAGACAGACTGACAAGAAGATAGTTAATGAGTGATATACGTTAGCTATTAGCATTAGTTTACCTTAATTGTAACTAATTCCTAGACGTTGAAAAATTATGCTAGAACAGGGTTGACACGTGTCCCCAGTTTGGGGACAAACTGAACCCAAAAGTGGACGACTCCTTATGTTGAGTGGACATTTTACCCACCTTCAATTTATTATTGTTAGCATACACCACATTGCGACGGACGCTAACTACCGGAAGAAAAATACGTGCATTTCCGGTCAATAATTCCAAAATAAATGTCGATTGAAAATTGTGTTTCCGTTTCAAGAGTCTTGGAGTTAATTGAGATCGTTTGTGAAATTTAAGCTGCATGTAAGAAACTGAACGCGTATTTAAACACGACAGCTAAACAAGATATGCTTTCCATGAGCAAAGCTGGACTTTAACAAATATCATACCACAAAAACCTCCGGCTACAGCTCCCAAAGTAAAAGTGCCCCACATACATTCAGCTAGCCTACCAGTTTATTAGGCTCACCAAACTAAAATTGAATGCCAGCTGTATCTACGGAGACCAGCAGTGGGTTACATGGAGAAATACATGGCAATGAAACCCCCACCTTTTTTTTTGGTGTTTATGCACCTGTTGTGCAGTGCGTAGGTGTCACCTCAGTGTTTCCATTTCGGTCGAGGGGAAATACAGGATGCATCTGTTACCATGCAACAGGTCAACAAAACAGATGCGGAGGGTGCAAGCAGATGCAGAAATGTCGTCAAGCTATTCAGCGAATCAGGTAAACTCAACATCTGCGGTCTGTGTGGTAAAAATGAGGAGTATGAGCATTTTGCTGTTACGTTTTGCTCACAGATTGACCTGGTTTACTTTCCATCCTAAGTACAACAGTGCCTTCAAGTCGCAGAGGCTGCAGAACTGGTGTGAGACTAAACACTTTAAAGAGGTAGAGTTGGTTAACTTTATATCGGCACTCCTGTCATGTTGTAATAAACGAATTGTGTTTGTTGCATTTCACATTTCCTAGTAGTTTCAAAAGCAGCAGTCATTTGGAAATTTGAGAATGACATGAGAAATGTTCATTTTGTGTGTGTGTTTGTGCAGAAACCCACTGCACACCATGGTCACACCACCTTCATTGCCAATGACAGAGGACATCTGTTCCCTGGAGCAGTCAAGGTGAGAGTGTAATCATGCCTCTTCTTCTCTCTTCAGTAAAAATGGCCTTTCTATCATTGTGAATTTATGTGTTTGCTATAGAGGGGCAGTGCATGGCCTGACTTTAAGGGGACCTGGGATCTACCTGCTCGTATCCCACCCTGCCACATCAATCCAACAAGCCGCTCTGTGGAGGGTCTCAACAGGCTGAAGTCCTGGGGCTTTGACCCACAGTACACTGGCAAGTCTCCGCCACACACAGGCAGCAAAAACACAGATAGGCGGCAGGATGTTGCCAAGCAGGTTAGGCCCAACAAGAAGCAAACATATATGAATGACTGATGTCCTGTGTTTTTCTTGAGGATATACAGAAACCTTTTCCATGTACTCTGCTCTGTTTTGATTCTGCTGAATCTTTCTGTCTTTTCATATATTTAAAAAGCCTATACCGGTTTCACTCAGTGAGTGTTTCAGGAGTGTGTCATAGTTAAAGACACGAGCTTGTGACTGGAGGGTCACTGGTTCAGTCATCAGACCAGCAGGATTAAATCTGGGTGGGACAGTTGACAAAGCAGCATCTGCCTCACTCTCATTAACACCACCGTGGTGCCCTTGAGCAAGGCCCTTATTCCCAGTTGCTCCAGTGGAACTGCTCAGTGGCCACAGGTCAGTCTGTGGTTGTACTGGGCAGGTGAACAG